TATAATGACACATGGAGTTGCTAGTGGTCCATTCTATGCAGTGATATTCAAGTTGGGCATGTGCGATATCTATGCACCAACTTGAGGGGGAGAGTTGAAATATATTAGTTACCTACTTGTACTCTTTGTTATTGTTAGGACTAAAGTGCAATATTTCTTTTTAACCTTGTATATATTCTTGTATACTTCCATTTTATCACAAAGGGAAGTTTTTCCCCCCAAATCGCTACAATTTGCATCAGAATATTTCTCAAAATCATCAATGTTGTGGCCCGACGTTCCAGGAAAGCTCACATTGTCCAACTCAAAGGAATGAGGTTTACTGCAGGATCTAAAGTGTTAAAAGCTGATTATCCAGGAAAAAGGCATCTATGCAAAGCCGGTTGTGGTCAGGAGAAGTATGCATGGTCATCGGTTCCTGGCATGATGTCCAAAGGTATGCCTGCAGCAATCTGGGTCAAAAGGATATTGAGACAAGTTGTTTCGTGACAGGATCTTGCAGTCCTTTATTTTTACGGTGATGCCCAATGGCATTCTTCTCCCTCCATCGATGGTATAATCGTTTCCCAGATTGCAGCAGGTTGGCATAACTGGGACTTAAAATTGGAGTGATCTGATGCTTTTTAGGACTGTATATAATCATTTCCCAGATTGCAGCAGATTGGCATAGCTGTCATGATTGAAATTATGCAATCCTCCTCTTGTGGGCCAGCTCCATAATTTGGCCTGGATCCTTATGCATTCTGACTTCAGCTTCTGCCATAACCAATGATTTCTCCTCCAGAACTTCGTCTGGTATCGCCAGCAATGGCATCGGTAAGATTTCAATTAATCTTCAGTATTCTATGACAGTGGGTTTCTCACGTCGATTTCTGCTGACTGTATTTGCCTCAATTCCATCAAAATTGGGAGGAATTTCCGTAACGAGTGTAGACTCAAGTGAGTTATCTGTGTTCCCTTTTTCCTTTCTCTTTCCTGCCTGTCCAATTTCTTCATCATTAAATCAATTCTTTTCATCATTGCTGTCATGGCCCTCGGAAATTCAGATTTCATGGACTCCAGCCCCTCTTGTAGTCCATCCATCCTCTCTTCCAAATTACATACCCCGTTCTGTGAGAATCATGTATTTTTCCAGGACAGTTGCTCTCATACCAGTTGATAAGATCCTGCTCTGAATTCTCACTTCTTCCCCTGTAGAGACACACGAATATGTGGCAACCAAACAAGGGTAATCAACTGGGAATTTCTAATTTATTGCTTTGAATAGAATAACACTGTGATGAATAGAAAACTGAGAATTACAGCCTTGCAGTAAGACTATTTTATGTAAATAAAAGATAATGACTGAAAAGGAAAAGATATTTGGGTGTTCGAGAGACCCAATACTCTCCACTAGATCCTTCCTCAAATTTCTGCCTGCCTATACGGCTATCTCTACCTATATTTATAACGTACTTCTAACAGATTTTCCTGACTAATTTCCCCTCTAACAGACTTTAGTTTTCTACCCACTTGCAGTTTATTCCTCTTCTGGGTCCTTCCAGAATGAGTGAGGTGGATTGGAGCCTATCATAGCTCTTGTAAATGAGAGCTTCTTCAGATCCATAAAAACGAATCCCTATTATAGTAATTGTCATTTCAGTGTTTATCTTCAATCATTATCACCTTCAATTGTTGGTCTCTGCTCTAATTTCTTATTTTATCCATTCTAGATATAGCCACAAATCTATCTTAAGATCCTCATTTCTGTTACATTTCTCTCGTGAACGTTATGTCCTCCAATGATTATATAGCCAATATAATAATTATTTCGCATCTTTTTTTGGTTGGAAAATATCTTCTCATTGCATAAGATCCTAAACAAGTTCGTTAGAATTCACGTTTTCTGTATATTACGTTCAATCCAAGACTCTTCTGCATTAATGATCAAACTTAAATGATTAAAACAGTAACTTTTTGGGAAAACGTGATATTTTTTTGTGCATCTACCTGTGAAGCACGAACACTTCTAAGGTGGATTTTCAGTGTGCAACTAGCATTTGATGCCTACTACTTGGACGCTCAATGATATAGAGCAACACGTCATGGGAAGTTTTCTCTTTTTGTAAATATTTTAAATTTTCGACAAGTCAAGGACACAACGTGCTCCATCATCTAAATTTTGGAATATAAATTGAATAATGTTATCTATCTAGTTTGCTGATCATTAGCAATCTAGATATGTCATCTTAGGTGGCATTAATCAATATGTCTTAAGTATAAGGATATGGATCCCATTAAAATGCCATATCAATTAATATCACCTACTGCTCATGATCAGTAGTCTAGATAGGTAGATAGCATTACTCATGTAAATTAGGAAAGTTAAAACTTTTAAACAGTTTTGTATAAAGGTCAAAATCACAAGAGAAAAAAGTTATATAGACTTATACCAATTGTTTTATATCAACTTGCATTTTTTCTCTCATCACTATAAGCAATGACTTGAAGTTTCTTTAGTATATAGCAAATAGTAAGTCGCCTTATCCGAAAAGTTTCACCATAAAAATTTACAGCTAAAGCTCTTTATTGATATTTTTATCAAAATTCAAATGTACCAAGTATAAATAATTTTAATGAACATGTTACTTGTCATCTCTGTGTCTTAACGTTTTGAAATGTTACGGGTCAGCATGTGTGTGTTCCTTGCCTATATTAATGGTTCGTAGCCCTCCATTATTGTTTTTTTTTCAGACTATGGCTATGACAATATTTTTGTATTTTAGATTTATTCTATCTTTAGATACAACAGAGCTCTTTTAAAGTTCTACATTACCATTCATCCCCCCTAATCTTAGCAACTATAAGTCTATAACCAAGTCAGCATCAAAGAACATACATCAAATGAACTTATCTCATGACTAAAGTAAAAGGCTCAAGACTCAGACAGAACCTTGAAACAAGCTTATGCCTACCTTCACGAAATTTCACTCCCATGACTAGTTCCTTACATATGTCCTTGATATTATTTGAATACTAATAAGAAATACCATATTTCCCTCCATCTTGTGTTCATCTAATAGATACTACATTTCCACAACAACAGTAAACTTGGAACAGTGTGAAAACAAAAGCTTACTTCCTTTCCGTAGAGCTTGGTTTCAGGTCTCTGTCAATGATGCCCCGAGTTAAACTCCTAGCCAGCTTTAGTTGCTTGTGCTCAGAGGGGTTAATCTTTCCCACTTCAGGATCCCAAACTGTGACCAGTTCGTTCGTGGAAGCTATAGGAGATGGTATTAGAAAATTTGCTCCTGATTCCTACATATCAAGTGATGTTAAGTTTCAATTCTGGACGTATCAAATCTATCAATTGGAAAAAGAAAAATGCGATTCCTATTTCAATAGAAGAAATTTCAGTTACTAATTCAAGATAAGATATTGCGCATAATGCAAAAAGAAGTTTCATGATATAAGTGAAAATTATGGCTGAGAACGTCCAACAGATATCAATGATAGATGCATAAAATTATGAGTCGGTCGGATTATACTTGCTAAAGCAAATTGGTATTAAGATCTCCTTTATACTTAGTTGAAATCAAACTTGCACATACTTTGAGAAGGAACATTATACTCACTGCATTTAACTTTAGCAAACTTCGTAAAGCCATGACCTTTTAAACTCGATATTGTCATTTCTAGTGGTTGTGTCGTCATATACTATGCAGTTATGTTCCACCTCAAACTTACACAAACTACCTTCAGAAAGGAGGCTAAAGGTAGTCGACGATACAATGTTAAGCAACATCATAATACATCTAATCTACACACACACTTAAATGCAAGTGCTTCATTATAGAGAAGCTCAGCACCTCACCTGCTTTACCCCATATCTATAAAAAAAAAATAACCCATAAATCTATCTAAGAGAACGACGCTAACTAAGTTTTTGCTAAAAACAACATTCATAAGAAAAAGATTGTTACATGACAACAATTTGATGCACCCTTTGAATGTCAATAACAAGAGGAAGATCATAATGTTGAGTCAATTATTATAATGTGTGTAATGTGAGTATCATCAACATGTTTCATGAGCAAGCAAATAACTCTAGTCTATAAAATTTGTAAGAAAAACAAATAGACACAGTGAAATCACCAATTTTACTTTTGAAAGATGAAAACACAAAGAAAAAAGAACAAAAATGTGGATTTCACAACTTGCTGAAGCAGTATACTGATATATTCTCTTCTGATTGAATTCAGCACTCAAACACTAGTTTTGATAAGGTATGAAGTAGATACTATACACAAACTCTCTGGAGCCTATATATTTTTAGTGTGTCAATAAGTTACAAAATAACACAGACACATAGGGGAGTACCTGGAACACCACTCGATGTTCAAAACTGCAGAAATCAACAACAATATATATATGAGAACTTCCATTTTTAATACTCTCGCGTTCTTTAATTTTCTCCATAGCTTTGAATGCAAGACGATCCAGCCAATCAATTCTTTGAATCTGCCCCCTCTCATACTTATTTTGTAGCTTTTCCAGACGTTCCAACTCCCCGCGCTCTTCCTTTGGAACCTATCACAAACCACCAGTATGCAATCAAATATTTTTGTTACTATATCTTTGCTGCATATGTTTGGAGCATTTGAATTGGAATTGTCAACATCGATTTTGATTTCAAAACTAATCCAAATTTCATGCTCCAAATATAGCATGAGTACAGTGGGATATCTATTTGAGTGTACATAAATTGTCAAAATCGATTTTGATTTCAATCCTAATCCCAATTTCATGCTCCATATATAGCATGAGTACAGTGGGATATCTTTTTGAGTGTACATAGTTCACTACATGGAAATTTCAAACAAAAACAAACCTTCCCGGGAGTGGTTGTATTGATAGAACCATCTGCTTCCTTCCCTGACCAAAGTCTAAGCTTGTGCTTACCAGTCTTGAGCTGTTTTTTCATGTTAAACAGATGAATGGTTGCCCCACCAACCACTCCATCACTTTTACCACAAGAAACATCATATACCTAAATTCGCACATCATCAACATAAAACAGAAATTCATTACGAAGTGACATGAATAAATAAAACAAACAAAAGCCGTGTTCTCATAATTTCAATACAGTATATACAAGCAGATTATTTTACAAAAATAATATGCAGATTCTAAAATATGATGGAAGGCTTACAGTGACAGCGAGTTGTGAATTTGCGGTCAAATCGCGATATTTAGTACTTAATGTAATTAGTTCGTTCCAACAATATGATGGACCTGAAGATTCCAGCCTGCATCAAGAGATTTTTATAAAATATTAATCAAAAAACCAGAAAATATTTTTAAAAAACACAAGCAAAATAAATAAAAAAAATCAATTAATAATATGAAAACTCAACCTCGTTCTCATGGGAAGACCAAACGGTGCGCCATCAATGTACAACAAGCACTCAACGTACAACTCCGGTCTCCTCTCCTCTGACGTAGAATCAACGTCATCTGAATAGTTCAACCACAAATATTGTAATTAAGAATTCAATTACCGACATCCTGAAAATTACACATTTTCCCATGATAAATAATAAACTCCAACACGAGAAGAATAAATAATTGAATTATTTTCACAATTACCTGAATTAGGAGGCTTGGGCAGTGGTAATTTGCCTTCTAATCTTTCGATTCTGAAAGTGACGGGGAGATTGATGTCGCATGATAAGAAGAATCGGAATTCGTTTCCACTCATTCTGGCTTATGATTATTTTCGAAAATAAGTAATTTTGTATTTCTACATGAACTTCAGAAATTGAGCAGTGGAAAATTTGTTGCTTGAACTTGCACGATTGCAGTTCCCCTTATGGAGAATTCTACTGGGTTTTGTCCGGCTAATTAGTTAAAAGAAGTGGAGAGATCCAATCAATGGTGGAAAAAAGAAATAAAACCGAAATCAAAGACTTCCGCCGGCGCCGGCGACTCAAATAGATCGACAGGCTCACAGTGACCGGCAAATTTCGATTTCTCTCGAGTCGCGGACGGGGATTGGGGATGAACTATGACCGTTTGTCACGAGAGATTTTGAGGGATTGCAACTATTTGGGCCGTTTGTGTAAATGAATTTGGAAGTAGTTTGGGCCATTTTTATAAAATTAGGAAAGAGTTGACAAATCAAGTATTAACTTTGACAACTATAAAAATCAGGTGTTATGTTTTAAATTTGTAAAAATCAAATATTTATTAATTAATTAAATATTTAATTGTAATATAATATAATTAACCCATCCCACCACCACCACCACCTTTACTATTTCGACGACCGATGACTGTTCCTCGACCGTGCTTAATTCCGACGACTACTCCGATTCCGACAATTGTTAAGGTCACAATTATATGTAATTTGGTCACATATATATAATTAATTAGTTAAAAATTAATTTTCGATCACATTATTTACAGTTCACAAATTTCCAAATTAGTTGGTCACATATAAAAAAGTTTGCAGGTCACAAATAATTCATCAGTTACATATTTCAAAATTTATAGATCACAGTTACAGATTTCCAAATTAGTTGGTCACAACAACCAGTACCAACACCACCACCGCCGCATCCAACCACACATTATCAACACCAACAATCAGGTCTGAACCCACCATACACCACACTGTACCATATCTGGTCAAACACCACTACAACTTGCATCAACACCACCACCGCACCCCGACGCAACACCATCACCACAACTCCACTCCGCCTCTGCACATACACCCACAACATACACACACCCACCGACAGCTTCGCAGTTCGCACACGGTAGCGTCGCGACGCTGTGAACTGCTGCAACGACGATGACGCCGTTCACAGCAAGCAGAGAGAGACGAGGGAGAATGGAGGAGGAGTCGCTGCACGACGCTGTGAACTGCAGCAGTGTCGCGATGCTGCCAGCACTCACAGCAGTGTCGCCGTTCACATAGGCAGAGAGAGACGAAGGAGAGAGGGGGAGGAAGAGGAGCTGCCGCACAGTAGGCAGAGAAAGACGAGGGTGAGAGTGGAAAGAGTGAAAAGGGAGGAGGGAGAAGCTAAGGAATTGATAAAATTAGGGTTATTAATATCATGTTTAATAATATTATTATATTAATTAAAATATAAAATTATTACTTGATTTTTGAATAATTAAACTTTAAACCTGATTTTTGAAAATCAATATTTAAACACCTGAATTTGTGTAATTTCCACATAAAATAATGGCCAACTTACCAAAATACCTCTAAAATTTGAAATTTTTTGAAAAATCTTACGAAAAATATTTTGAAAATAAAAATACTGTGTAAATTTAAATATCATTTTTTGAATTAAAAAGTGATATCACTTTTTTTTAGATGTCACGTTGCAAGTTAAGTGTCACTTTTTTATTAAAAAATGACCACCGTCCCTGTTTGACACACAATCTTGAGAAATGGCTAACGCTATGTTTCAAAATCATGAAGGGCAGTCCACAAGCCGACCTCCCTTCTTTGACGGCACACATTATAATTATTGAAAAGCAAGAATGATGATTTATATTCAATCCATTGATTACAATATTTGGGAAGTCATTGAATATGGTCCATATGTGACAACTAGAGTTATAAAATTGATGGAAAACCCAATGAAACAATTCATAAGCCTAGAAAGGAATATGATGAAGATGATAAAAGAAAATTGTTCTTAAATGCTAAAGTCAAGAATCTACTTTATTGTGCTCTAGATAAAAATGAATTTAATCGTATTAGTACATGTGATTCTGCTTATGATATTTGGCATCCTCTAGAAATCACTCACATCAGTGCAAGTAAAGTAAAAGAAACTAAGATTAACATTCTAGTAAAAGAATTTGAAAATTTCTTTATGAAACAAAATGAATCAATTGTTGATATGATTACTCGTTTTACCGATATTATAAATGGATTGAAAGGATTCGATCGTAAATTTACTAACAGTGAATTTGTAAGCAAAATGCTTAGGTCGCTCTTGGAGGAATGAAGCCAGTTGAAGATCTTGATAGAAAACACCAAGGATGTCAACACATATCCTCTAGAAGAACTCTATGGAACCTTGATGATCTACGAACTCAACAACGCCGAAATCAAGAAAAAGACAAAAAAGAGTAAAGAAGATTCAAAGGAGGCTCCTAAACGCCAAATTACTTTTAAATCCGCGATTGATGAAGAAACAATGAGCAACGACATGAGTGACGAAGAGATCGATGATTTGGTCATTTTTGCCAAAAAATGGAGAAGCTTTTGAAACAACCGAAACTTCCAAAAGAAGAAATAAAAGAATGAAAAATGGTGCAAGAAAATCGTTTGTTACGATTATGACAAACCGAGTCACAAAAGAACCGAATGCCCAAACACAAAAAAAATCTTTCAAGAAGAAGACTCTTCAAACTATTTGGGATGAAAGTGATGAAGATGTTGATGACGGAAACAATAGCCAAGAAAAAGTGGCAAACATGTGTTTCATGGCAATCAACGATGAGGTAAACTCTATCGAAAAAGATTCATATGATGAATTATCTATCTCCTATGATGAAATGCTAGAAGATTTTTAAAAACTTGTTTTAAGTCATTCCATTCTTAAAAAGAAAAAATTATTATTAAAAGAAGAAATAAAGAAAATTTCGGAAAAACAAAAAACAAATATTAATCATGATCTATTAATTGAGAAAAACATCTCTTTAAAAGAAAAAGTTGAAGACTTATCAAAAATCATTTATAAATTCACCGAAGGGAAGAAAATTTTTTGATTTAATGCTTGAAAATCAAAAATGCGTTTTTGACAAAAGCGAAATCGGATTCAAACCCTCTTTAAAACAAAAATCTCTCAAAAACATGTTTGTCAAAACTTCAAATTCAAATAGTACATGTAGTTCATGTGGTAGACATGGACACATTGCTTTTAATTGCTTAAGTAAAAAGAAGCTATATTTTGAAAGAAAGAATAAGTGGATTCGAGAATCTACTAAAACTAACTGCTAAGAACCCAAGCTTGTATGGGTACCAAAGATTAAAAATTAAAATATATCTTATAGGTACCAAAGGAGATGAATTGCAAATGATTCTTGGATAGCGGGTGTTCAAAATATATGACCTGAGACCAATCTTTGTTATCAAACTTCAAAAAGAAAGATAAAGGTCGTGTAACATTTGGGGACAATGCAAAAGGAAAAAAAATATCGGCGTTGGTAACATCAGTAATCACTTATCCCCGTCTATTGAAAATGTTTTACTTGTTGATAACCTCAAACATAATCTACTAAGCATTAGTCAATTATGTGATAAATGTTATATTATAAAATTCGATTATTCCAAATGTTATATTAAAGATGCTACATCAAAAGAAGTAATTTTCGTAGGAAGCCGAAGTAAAGATGTATATATATCATAAAGATTGAATGTGAAAATAGTGAACATTGTTTACTTAGCTTGAAAGACGAAACATGGCTATGGCATAGGAGACTAGGTCATGTAAGCATGGATCTTCTTTCAAAAATTTCCAAAATTTGTTTTGTAAAAAGATTGCCAAATTTGAAATTTGAAAAAGATAAGATTTGTGATTCATGTCAATTTGGAAAACAAGTCAAAAACTCCTTCAAACTCAAACTTCATTCTTCAACTACAAAGTCGTTGCAACTTCTCCACATGGATCTTTTTAGATCATCTAGAACGGCTAGTTTAGGTTAGGTGGTAAACATTACGCCTTTGTTATCGTTGACGATTTTTCAAGGTTCACTTGGGTTATATTCTTAAGCCTAAAAGATGAAGCCTTAAAAGTTTTCAAACATTTTTGTAAGAAAGTTGAAAATGATAAGGGTCACACTATTACTACGATTAGAAGTGACCACGATGGAGAATTTGACAATCTAGCATTTGATGATTTTTATGAAAGGCTAGCTTAGGTGGTAAGCACTACGCCTTTGCTACGTTGATGATTTTTCAAGATTTACATGGGTTATATCTTTGAGTGCAAAAGATGAAGCCTTGAAAGCTTTCAAACATTTTTGTAAGAAAGTTGAAAATAAAAAAGAATACACCATTACAATTATTAGAAGTGATCATGGTGGAGAGTTTGATAATATTGTTTTTGATAACTTTTGTAATAAAAATGGATATGAACATAATTTTTCAGCTCCTGGAACTCCTCAAAAAAATGGTGTAGTAGAACGGAAGAATCGTACATTGCAAGAGATGGCTAGAACCATGCTCAACGAAAATAATTTACCAAAATATTTTTGGGCCGAAGCCGTTAATGTCGCATGTTATATTATAAATAGAGTCTTGATTAATCGTAAGAAAACTAAAACCCCTTATGAGTTTTGGAAAAATAGAATTCCCAATATTAGCTACCTTAAAGTTTTTTGTTGCAAATGTTTTATTTTTAATATCAAAGATAAAAATTCCCAATATTAGTTACTTTAAATTTTTCGGTTGCAAATGTTTTATTCTAAACACAAAAGACAATTTGGGTAAATTCGATTCAAAATCCGATGTTGGAGTTTTTCTAGGATATTCATCGACTAACAAAGCTTATAGAGTCTTTAACAAAAGAACTCTAGTCGTTGAAGAATACATACATGTCACATTTGATAAAACTAATCTCCTTGATCATGATAAAGGTAATGATGACGATGTAGGTTTGGAAGCTCCACTTAAGAAAATGTATATATATTCAAAACAAGGAAGTATCAAACGATATTCAATCAAAGGAG